TTATTTTTTGCACTAAAAAGCATGTGCTCCCTTCCTACAAAAAAGTGAAAGAGCAGATTTTCTTCTCATTCCTCACTACGTACAAAATAATTGGATTTATTTTAACTCTGTGGTACTAAACAATGTTTACCACTTTATTAGCTAGACACAGTGAAACATGGCTTATTTTCTACCCAGCCAGAGCTGGAGCCAAACCAAAGCCCTGCACACAAACAGCCCTGAAAACCGGAGATGCTTGGATCAAGTTCCAAAATGGTTCCAAAGTGGCAAGATTTCTTTAAACCAAAGCATTGGGTCTGGTCAGTCGCTCCCCATTTTGGCAAAGCCTGAACGGATACGATGTTTTACCCTTGGATAAACCACTTTTTGGGTTGCACGGTTTGTGAAATCCTCTGTTTCTGTCCTCAGAAAAAGGGATGCAGAGGAGAGAGAGGGAGGTATTCTGCTCACTTTGGGGACAAAGGACTTTGCTTAAATAAGCTCCCCTTGTGCTATCCACACACACAAGTACAATCTGCTGATTTGGGGCAGGAAACCTGTGCATTATATACATGAAAACTTGAGGCTTCTCTGCCTGGGTGTGTCTCTGGCCTCAGGTCTGTACCCTTGGGTTCCTCCAAACTGTGAGGTTTGTGTGTGAATGGGAGCAAGTGACAGAAGAGTGTGCTTGTCTCATCAAAACTGGAAAGAAAAGAAAAAAAGTGCATCAATTCACTACAGCAGTCTCTTACTGAGTGTACACAGGAATTTCGGTAGCTTCGTCGGGCAGAATGGGAGCACCGAGGGCCTCACACCTTTCCTGGATGTGCACAGGATGGGGGCTGCCAAGACACGTCGTTCTGGTTGCTTCCACATCCAGAGCTCCGAGCAGGTGGCTGCTGTCCAAGCTGAGTGCTCCACAGCCTCTTGAAGTCTATAAAACTGCGTTTCCCTCCCATTAAGAGGGAAAACACTTTCATGTCGTGTTGCTGTAAAAGTATCAGAAAAGCTAATGTTTTCTCTACACTCCTCATTTAATATTCTGTGTAAAAAAGTCTGCCTGACCTCCGTATTTGAAAGGGATAAGGAAAAAAGTCCAGAAGCTCCCAACCCCTTTGGTTTAGCCAAAGGGTTTATTACCATATTTATTCTATGGAAAACCTCCAACTCTGCAACCCCAGAGAAGAGGGAGCACAAGAGCAGGAGGAAAAATGCCACCCCCTCTTGTGGCAACTCTTCCCCCTCACCCTGCCTGGTGCTGGGAGTGGTGGCACTAGGTGCACGGCTTTCCTGTCTGCCACTCTTACTCAACGTTCCTCACACTACTCTTCAGAGATGGGAAAGGGACTGGGAAGTTGCCTAGCAGGAAAAGATCTGGGGGTGCTGGTCAATAGCGAGCCGAACATGAGCCAGCAGTGTGCCCGGGTGGCCAAGAAGGCCAATATCATCCTGGCCTGTATCAGGAATAGTGAGGTCAGCAGGACCAGGGAAGTGATTGTCCCCTTGTATGCAGCACCAATGAGGCCGTACCTTGAGTACTGTGTTCAGTTTTGGGGCCCTCACTACAGGAAGGACATTGAGGTGCTCAAGTGAGTGCAGAGAGTAGCAACAAAGCTGGTGAAGGGACTAGAAAACAGGACTTATGAGGGGCAACTGAGGGAATTGGGGTTGTTTAGTCTGGAGAGAAGGAGGCTGAGGGGAGACCTCATCACTATCTACAACTACCTGAAAGATGGTTGCAGCAAGGGGGGTATTAGTCTCCTTTCACAGGTGACAAGTGTGAGGATGTGAGGAAATGGCACCAAGTTGCACCTGGGGAGGTTTACATGTAGATTGGATATTGGTAAGGATTTCTTCTGGAGGAGGGTGGTCAAGCATTGGAACGGGCTGCCCAGGGAAGTGGTGGAATCCCCACCCCAGGAAGTATTGAAGAGATGTCTGGATGCGGTGCTTAGAGACATGGTTTAGTGGTGGTCTTGGTGGTGTTAAGTGATGGTTGGACTTGTTGATCTTAAAGATCTTTTCCAATCTTCATGAGTCTGTGGTTCTGTGAAGACTGGTGGTGCGGGCACAGTGCTGAGCTGGGAGGCAGGCGTCTGCCGCAGGTTCACTGTCTGACCACAGGCAGGTCACCTCATTTCTCCGTGATTCAGTTTTCCACCTGCAAAATGGGGATAATAATAGTCCTGTGCTTTACAGGGGTGAACCGAGGACAACTTGCCTGCTCTTTAAGCAAAATGTTTAGAGGATAACTTCAAAGTAAAGCTAATAAATGTGAAAATACAAGTCACCCTAGCAATGTTCTGCCTGTGCGTTTATAGTGGCTTGGGAAAACCATTTGTATTTGTTATATTTTTCTGACAGAGTTCTTCAATTTCCTACCACAAAAACAGGTTCAGTGCTGCTACCTGCAGCAGCCAGCAGGAGAGATAAGGTTGGATAGGTCTTCTGATTGGTGATGGGGAGTGGAAAGTGACTTTTGGAGCTACAGGCTGAGGGAGGAATCCTCTGACAATGCCCAAAACTGACAGAATCTGGGGCAGGTGCTTCGCTTGGTGGATGGGCGATGCAGAGACACGAGGTGGTAGGCCTGGGAGCAGCGTGCCCCGTGGAGGCCTCAGGAGGACGCTGCGCCTTTGGCTCATTTGTTAATTCAGGAACAAATGTAGTGCCTGGACGAGCTTCAGAGGGGAACATTAATTGTTGCCTCGCTGGCCTGAGCACAGCCCTTAGCGCAGGAACTGCTCACCCCGGGGCCGTGGGATAGCTTGGGGCCAGGCTGGGCCGCCGCAGCGCGGGGTGCCGTGAGGGCAGCGCCTGGCCGGCAGAGGAGAAAGCAGGGTACAGGGAGGTCAGACTGCTGGCTTGGAAGCAGAAAATGGCTGACGTGAATTCGAAATGAGGAATAAATTACACTGGGGGTATGGATTTGGAAAGATCTGAGTCTTGGCTCCGCAAGCCCTTGGTTCAGCCCGCTGAAGCTTAAACTAATCCAAATGTATGAGGTATTTTACACATCTTGTATGACTCCGCGTGTTCGCGTTCAAGGCCGGTGTCAGGAGCCTGAGGCTTGGGGCAGTGTCCAGCTTTGCACTGCTGACAAACGAAGCGTTTGCTCTTGACCCACCAGAATGTCAGATAAAAGTCTTTTTCATCTTTCCCCCCTCGCCTTCCTTTTTTTTTTTTTTTTTTTTTTTTTTTCTGGAAGCCCTAATGGGTCTCTTTAATGATGAAACCGCTGCTATATAATATGTCTTTTTATATTTTAATTTTTTTTCCCCTCTTGGGATAATTTATAGCACAGTGTGGAATCTGAGACAGTTCAAGCTGTGCCAAAGGGCCTGGCAACAGGAAGAAATGCCGAGCCGCTGCGATTTGGAACCATAATACAAGTTATAAAATTTAATTTTAGAAATGCAGCTACTGGGAACTGCTTTTAAATGTACATTTTCCCCTTAGTGTATAAAATGGTCCTGTGTCTTGATTAAGCTGTTAGGGTGGCATGAAAGAGCACACTGTAGAGTAAGGGACATACAGACCTTTTCAGAGATCGCTTGTTGCTTATTCACCGATAGGCAGAATTGGAAGCTGGGTGTATATAAATGTTTAAACATTAAATACTCTGAGGACATGTGGATTATTCTGGGGAGTTTTGTGCCAGTCTGTTTCACTGCTGCAGCCACGAGTTCACAGAGGACTTGCCACAGGAGCAGCATTGGCCACCTCCTGGCACGGAGGGTGGAGAGATGTCAAAGGCAACTTTTTGTGGAAAGACAATGAAAATCAGGAGCGGACAGGCAGAAAACTATGGGATTTGGCAGAAAACATGGATAATGCCACCTTCTCTAAGGGAGCAAGTAGAACTAAATTTGGCCTCTGGGCTAGACAGTGGAGATGTGTTCAGGTGAGGGTAACAGTGCCCTTTCCTTTAGGAAAAAAGGAGAAGGGACAAGACACAAAGATTCGCAAGGCAGCTGATTTCTGGAGACAAATGCAAAGTGTGGAATTGGGACTGGGGGAAACGGAGAGATGAGACATCCTTAGTGTATGCTCTGTACTCAGTCTTTGAGTTTATTGAGCAATGTGGCATTTTGTGACAAGGCTACATATAGGATCCCAGAGCAGAGAGCACTCACAGGCAGCAGTTAGAAATGCATTACCTTATTCCTTGCATATTGCTCATTGCTGCTAGCTAAAGTTTATCTTGACACCAGTCCTCATGACAAGACAAGGTCTCTGCCCTTCCAGCTGAACCTGTCTGTGCCCCGATGCTGCGCTGCCTTCTAGCTCCTTCCCTGTTCCCCCATCCTCCAAAGGTTGCCCTGGGGCATGTGGGCCCCCATAGCTTGCACATGGCCGAAGCTAACCCCTCTGTGCACTGGCCTGCACTGTAATGTCAGCATCAGTTCCCCTAGAGTTGGATGTCTGGTGGGACCTCATGTTTTGGAAACTCCACTAAGGGAGACTTCATGACCCGCCAGCTGCAATTCTGCCAGCTTCTGGTGTTTCTTGCCTATTTCTGTCTATAAAACCATTGCTAAAGGATCCAAAAATGGGATTTGTTTGGGTTTACTATTTTATAGCCCCCTAGTACTTGTCTAATTATGGTACTTCACAACAGTCTGAGATTGAATTTCTGCTGAGTTACTCCAATGCAGGTTTAGCACAGGGGCCATCACAATTTTCTTCCTTTTATTCATCCCAACAGACTTTACTCCTTCCAAAAATGCTTCCTCTCCCATTATGAGGTGCAATAGGAAGGTGCACTACACTTTTCAGTGAACCTGTTTTTTCAGAGTAGGCCATCTTGGGCTGCCCTGCGATATGGTTTCAATGCATGACTTGTTTGTGTCTCCTGTTCTTGCAGAGAGGTGGTTTCAGTTTAATTGCAGATAGCTGCTAGCTGGTTAGGTACTTTGCCAGTGGATGAGGGTTTTCTTTTTTTTTTAAAAAAAAAAAAGTCAACAGACCTCATGTATCAGTGAGATTTTCTGATCTTTTTCCCCCCCCTCCCACAATAGGACATCGTCAGAAACTAGATGAGCAGACAAAGCCCGGGAGCTTGTCCTTTTCAGAGCGCCTGAGTGAACTGGAGCAGTTGCGTCGTACGGCCATGAGGGTCAGCCCACACCACCCAGCCCCCACACCCAACCCACGAGCCTCCTTGAACCACACCACTGCTTTTAACCCTCAGCCTCAGAGTCAGATTCAGGGTAAGTACCCAAAATCCTCCCCCTGCTCACCCAGCACCTGCCTGGCCTTGCTGAGAGCTATGGGGCTCGGAGGCATTTCCCCCTTGCCCCTGCCTCTCTTTTTGGCTGTCCTGAGATCCATGGAGGCCTTGCAAGTCTGTTTTCTTGCAAAGGTGCATTATCATAGGCCTTTTTGTATGTGTAGGTGTATTTCCTGATGGGTAGTTATCAATTAATTGTGTGCTTGAATGAGAGAGAATTATGTCAATGCCTTGCTTTGACCTTTGCCAGAGAGACAGTTGCAAAGAGAATTTTACAAAGTGCTTTGTCCCCTGCAGAGGACCTCTTAGAGACAAGATCTAAATGTGGGCAGGCTGGTTTGAACATATTTCTGGGGCTGGTGGTTATCCGTTGGGTTGTATTTGAACAAAAACCTGCCGAACAGTGACTCTGGAGTCCGATTTCCTCTGAGATGCAGGCTTTGATGATGCCAGTGAAACCAAGTAATTCAGTTTGAAACCTTATCTGCCACTGCTGGAGTTGAGTCTGTCACTAGTAAGATCAAATCTGCTACTAAAATCTGCTGGAACTTCGTAAGCAGAGAATCAGGTCGCTACGTAATGATAGCTGATAACACACTTCACGCAATGCATATCAAGGTGCAGGTTTGTAGTGAAATGCCTCTGAAGCGAGGGTGCAATATGGTACTTGCAGTGAGAGCTGTTCCCAGTGGAGTTTTCTTCTGCTCTTCTCGTAGTTGAAGTTCTCTGCTGGTGCTCTGCGGGGAGAGGGTTACCATCAATTCCTGCAATAAGTTCTTTTTTCAACATTTATTTTTTAAAGCCAGGGTTACTCTTTGTTGCATACAGAAAAGTATGTCACTTGCAGAACACAAAGCTTGCTGCATCTTTTTATTCCCAGGACCAGGGAGGTCTTTGGCCCAGTGACATCTACTGTAAACCTTCTGTTGACTTCACTGAATGCAGAACCAGGCAGTTTTGAGAAGCACGGGAAATAAACCAACACATTGCCACATATTATATTCTAACAAGAGGCAGGGAAAAAGCAAATGAGCAAACAGAAAGGTTGAAGGAGCACACAGTGTCCTTTCCTGGGTCTCATCCTGCACCTCACCAGCCTCCCTTGGTTTTCTAATCTGCAGAGCAGACCACGTTGGGATTCCCCTCCATGCAGCTCAGCTCCTGCAAAAGCAAATGCCCATGCTGTTGCGGCTGCTCGGCAGCCTGCAGCTCCGTGGGTGGAGGTATCGGTCGCAGACGTGCATTCCTCGGCTTCTCGGGAACACTATATGCTTAGCAGAGTATCGGGTTCAGCCCCATGTATCCCCCTTCCCTTGTTCCACATGGAGGTCCCTCGCTGGGACGGCTTCACACCCGTCTGGGGGCTCAGCTGCTCTCTTCAGTAATATATTTAGTATATTGCTCTGCTTTGCTCTTCACAAATATGGTTTTAATGCATTTCACCTGTGAAAGTAGCTTGGAAGGGGGTACCAGTTGAATTGCTGGTGTTTCCTCATCGATACCCTCCTCAAAGCTTCCCCTGAGCTCCCCTTTGCTTCTGCCTTCCCAGTTTGCACGTTATCCTAAGACCCTCCTGAGCAACTTGCTGAGGCTGCAGCCTCTACCAGTGAAATAACCCTAAACCCGAAGCCACTTTGATGTTGACTCCCTCTGCCGCAGGCACCTTTTGGCTTTTAGGGCTCGTCTTCGTCCCACTGTTGCAGCAAGGCAAAAGGGCTGCAGTGGCAAGGAGCTACAGCACCATCGCGTTTTGCTCAGTGTTCAAAGTAGGGCTGGCTTTTGGGCTGGTCTCATGGGAGATCTCTAGGGAGTACGGGTGTTTTCATGCCTTTTATTTTTACTCAACAGCATCATGTTTCAGAAGGGAGGCCCCCAAAATGAAATGCTTCTGACCCTTTCCACCCTGTTGCCATACCGGCATGTACTTCTTCACGTCCTGAAACACATTTATTAAACTCTCACTGAAGAGAGTATGGGGTGCTTTTTATATGGGCATAAGGCACAAAAAGCCCATACATTGCTAACTTCTCAGCAGCAGCATTGCGCCGTGCTTTAACTCACACTGGTATGAATCACAGGCTACTCCTCTGCTCATCCAAGTCCAATTATCTTTTTTTTTTTTTAAAAAAAAAACAAAACTAACTCAAAATAGACATCTCAGACTAGTTCTTGGATTTAAAGGGGCAGGTTGCCATGCCACTAAACCACTGTTTATTTGTTGAGGTTTTCATCTATAAAAGGATTGAGGTTAATTTTAACTTCCTATTTTACCAAGTCTTGAATTTGAGCATAAAGCTGCTTGTGTCATGGATACAAGTCCAAGCAAGTTAAGAGACCATAAATTGCTATAATCGAGTTTTATGCTTCTTTCGTATCACAAAAAGCGAGCAAGTACACCTGTTCATTTAAAAGATCTAACCATAACCAATTCACAGACAAAAGGGGAACCGAAGGGGAGAGAAGGCTTCCACCACATCACACATGTTTTAACTTGAAAGATTACTTTGTGCAAGTACCAAGCGTATCGTGTCAAAGGATTTGACCTGTGCTCGCAGAGTAAGGAAATTCAGTTAGAGCTCAAGCGCCAGCTAACACTTCATCCTTAACTCACCCCTTCCTTTGCAGAGAGAGGAAAAGAAAATAGAGCTATGTGAGCTGTGCTGGGTTGTTATTTATGAAAGTTTAGGTAAAACCCTCGATGAGCATTGAAATTTATATGTGCCATAAATGTAAATCTCTCTCTGTATATATTACGGTTGAGTTTCTTCTAATACCAGTCTAAACCAGACAGTAAATACATAATTACTGGTTTTATAGTGGTTAGTGTTAACCAGCATAGGTAGATCCATAATTCAAGAGTTTTAAAAATATGAATTTATATGGCTCCTTTATAGTATGATTTATTAAGGGTCAATAGAAATATTTTAAAGGTGTAAGTCATCAGCCTGAGAAGGTATTCTTTTTGAGGCAATAACATTGAGCTAACAAATAACATAAGTAAGTTAGGGCATTAGGAATATCATCCAAAAATGTGTACAATTAAATTATTTCAATTTCAATCCTTTTTTTTTTTTTTCAAATTAGCCCAAGAATGCTTCCAACTAATGATTTATTAATTACCCATAGGTTAGAAAAATTAATAAAATAAAGTAATTTTTCCTGTCTGGGGAAAACAAACAATCATTGTAATCACTTTAAGGTGCATGCTTCTGTTTCTGTTTACGCTTTTATAGCCTTAAAAATATTTGAGCTTGCTTGCTCACTTTTTTCTTTTTTTTTTTAATTTTGTAATCTTATATGCTAAGTTTCAGCTGGGACCATGCTTTTATGACCAGGTCTTAAATCCCTGGAAACAAGAGTCTGTAATAAAATTGCTGACAGATCTTCAACCAAAGCAGAGAACTAGCACCAACAGCAAAGTAACAGAGATCATGGCGAGATCAGCTCTTTGAATTAGCAAGAAACATAAAGACAGAGAGATTATTCTGTTACAAGCCAGCCTTTTGTCTTCCTCCAGGTGCAGTGTGCTTTGTTGAGGAGACATTTCAAGGTCCTTGCTATCGTAATCTCTCTCCACCAAAACCAGCCAGAGTTTATCAGGGTTCCCATGAACCAGGGAAATGCAGCAGTGGAGTCAAGGACGGTGTTTAAGCGTGAGGAATTAAGATGGCTTTGTTGTTGCCATAACTGCATCCTGCCCCAACTTTTAATATTTCCACTTTTGAATCGGCTTAGCCGGCCATAGGTTAATAGAGCCAGAAGCAGTGTGCAGGGCAGCCCTTCCCAGAGGCTGGCAGCAGGCACAGGGCTGTGGCTGTGCCTCCGTCTTTCATTGCTGCAAAATGCAGTTTTTGGGAGCTTTGGAGAATCCTAGGTGTGCGCACCGCTCCTTGCCAGGACAAGTAAACAGGCTCCCAGGATCCCAGACTCACAGCCCTTCCCCTCATGCGTTGCTACCTACATTTTCACGTTCTCTCAGGCCGCGTCTGCCTCTCCCTGTCATTCCCTTGGCACACGTATCATCATCATGTTCCCACTTGATTCACCACCTGACCTCTCCATCCCAAAATACAGCACGTCAAACAGGTGCCGCCGGAGCTCAGCATGTTGCCTATCAGCAGCTCTCCCACCTTCCTCGACCAGCAGGGTAGCGCTGGGTGGCCACTGGCAGCCCTCATGTCATTGCCAAGCCTCATGGCCAGGGATGCAATGCTCCAGTGGTTTTTCCTGGACGTGCAGAGCTCACCTCCCCAGCCCCACATGCACCGGGAGCGGGCAGCCAACGTGCTGGGAGCATGTAGGGTCAAGGCAGGAGGGACACCGTGAGAAGGAGAGGTGCTGTGGGCTCAGAACTTGATTGCCACAGCCACCGGGAGGTCGCAGGAGGTTTGCTGAATGAGTGGTGTTTTCACAAAATATTTTGCTAAGCCGATCTGTTTAGCTGGAATATTTCCAGCTGGCTCTGTCAAAAAGGAGATTTTTATAGAGAGAAATATCTTTCTACTGATGGTACAATACATTTCTTTGATTCGCATATATGTCTCAGCAGATAATACTTTAATATTGCCATGAATAACCTCAGCAGTTTTTCTTTTTAAAGGGTACGGTGTCATCAGTAGCAGACTCACCCTGCTATTTACTTGTTGTGTCATAAACCAGCCCGCGTACGAAGAGATGCACACGCTGCTGTGTGAACCAGATTAGCTTACTCAAAGCAATTCCTCTCTCGTTCAGCCCAACAGAACGCTGCTTCTCGTTTTGCTCTGAAACTAACACCCTCCGTACCTGTATCTTAGAGAACATTCACGAGGCTGTGGTACATACAGAATGTACTCTACGTAACAGAAAAAGTGGATTGTAAATATCAGCGTGGCAAAGATATACGCCATAGGTGTGTAATATAACTAAATAACCTTCAGCTTCACCGCATCCATTCTTTCTTGGCTCCAGCTCTTTGTGTTGCTTTTCACTTTGCCAGTT